CCGAGGAATGGATAAAAAAGCTGTGGTACTTCTACATAATGGAGCACTACTCAGCTATAAAGAAGGATCACATTGAGGTATTTATCAATAAATGGCCGCATCTTGAAACCATACTCATAAATGAACTAAATCAAACTCGCATCTGTGAACTCCGAATAGTTTCCCTAGTGTAGGAAATGAATCAAATATATAAAAGTATGCGATAACCATGATTCCCCATTATATGGCCTTGAAGCCTTATAAAATTCTCACTCATTACTTGGAATGGCTTTATTCTGGGATGTTTGATATTATGGCTGGTGATGCAATGAACAGCCACTTTGAAGAAAATAAGACATAATAACAGCTAGTGCTGATTTAATAACATCTTGTCTTAAAGCCGTACAAAACTATGGATCTTCTGTCTCCATTGATTTTATTATGTTGTAACTTGCTGGACTTTATCGTATGTGGTAGTATAAACAAAATTGCTATAGGCAAAGAGATAATATTGAAACCATTGATCATTTTTTTTCTGTTAGCTGGTTCTAAATACTCTACAATGCTTTCATCCACTTGAATGGTGTTACACAGTCTTGATATATTTGATGCTATAGCATATGAAGTTATATTCAAATATTTCAAAGAAAAAGACACCATGGTAACTACTATTAAGTCGGGTTATTTGGTGGTGAAGCACTAGGTTGCTGAAAGTGTTATGCTTTAACCTGTATTGTTATGTTGTTATGCCCCCTTTTATCTTATCTTCTCCCTTATTCATTAAAAAATCATTTAATTTTTTAAAAAAAATATGTCAACCAATAAAAAATGCTCCTGGGTTCTGTAGGGAAAAAGAAACCCTTTACAACTGTTGGTTAGAGAGTAGATTAGTATAAACACTGTGGAAATCAGTGTGGAGATTCCTCAAAAAATTAGGATTAGAGGTCCCGTTCAACCCAGGTATTCCCCTTCTGTGTATCTTCCCAGAATGATTGAAAAACATCACACCACAGTGACATATGTGAAACCATAAGGTTCAAAATATACAATAGTCACTGTGAAATGGAAGGAAACTGTTTAATAAAAAGAAGAAACTAAGATAGGACAAAAGAGAAAGGATAGAAGGGAAAAGAAAAAAAAGTGCAAGTTAGTTATACCATTAGTATCACTTAGTTCACTGAATAGGAAAGGTTGTGCTAATATTGATTGAAGTAATTTTTATGCCCATATTTTGTACTTGAGTGACTAAAGATAATGTTGTGTAATTTATTAACAATTGTTACTTTTTCATTATTTTGTTGTGAAAATTTGTTTTACCTTTTCTTCTTAATATTAATAAATAAAGTAATAATAATAAAAAAAATAAATTGCGAAGCCATCATAATAAATATTGCAATTTCTCACTTATACAATTGTACCTTTATTTAAATTGGTATATAAGTATCCTTGAAGCAATATCTAATTCTGTCTACAAACACTGATATTAAGGAGTTTTCAAATTTTATAAAAGTTATATCATTTTTCAGGAACATTCATATGCAGATTAGGCAAATCTTGTCTGATTGGCTGACAGACAGATAGATCCCCTCATTTTTAAATTAACTGCTGGAGTGGAATTTATTTTATCCACTTGTCTGAATCTCTTCATGCAAATGATACAGTATACAAGTTTAACATAACACAACAAGGAAATTTGTTTAGCTTTTGTGTTTATTATGATGTGGAAAAACAGCAATCATCACTGTAACCATCACCTTATTGGATCTGCAGCTTTACATTAGGTCAGACACACAAATGTCTATAGACACATGTTAAAATATGTAAGTTTTCCTGAACTCATAATTCTCAAGATAGTAAGCTAATCTGCTTACATACTATAGAGAATGTAAAAAGAGAGATGTCAATTAACATATACAAGCCACTAAGAACTGGCATTTCTTTCCTATTTATTTGAATGCAAAATTTATGGAGTCACCAAAACTAAACTTCTATTTCTTGTTCAGAACTCTAAGTTAGCAACCTCGTTTGTTCTAGACAATAGCCAAACCAGGTAGTACCTTGCACTGTGAATTATAGCTATGAATTTATATAATTATGTGTTAGTTATACTTTGACTACCTTCTGCAACTGTGTGATACAAATTTCAGATCTGGTTCTTAAATGTAGCATAGCTGAGGAAGAATAAAGTTCAATGTCTTCTTTTAATACATTTTTCAACTTTCAACAGGTTACAAGTTTTTTGAAACCGTTTCTCTTTATCTGTAAAAATTAAATTGTATTTATTTGGAGTCTTATTTTCTGTAGATTAAACTTTCATTTTCTATGTGCACTTCCTGATTTTTTTGTAATTCCTTTGGGTCCATCTAGATATGTGAGTACAGAACAATCCATGTAAGACATGACTGTTCTATTCCAAGTACCAATTTCTGGTAGGAAACACTATACTTCTGTATTTTTATTCTATGAAAGCAAGAAAAGTGATTTATGTAGAAAATTTAGGGCTGTCCCAAGGAAACTGTTTGGCTCTCTGTCAGTTTATGCAGATAAGAAATTAATTTCAGAATATCCATTGAGATTTTGCCATTATTTTTACTGTGACATAATTTCGCCTATAGTAAATCTAAAGTTATATTGTATGAAATTCATTTCACATTATATATGCCCAATAAATATTTTGATTTCTAGAAAAAAAATTTATTTGGAAACACAAGAGACCTAGAATAGCAAAGGCAATCCTGGGCAACAAAAGCAAGGTAGCAGGCATCTCAATCCCTGATTTGAAATTATAATACAAAGCTACAGTGAGAAAAACAGCATAGTTCTGGCAAAACAAAAAAACAAACAAACAAAAAAAACCCCCAAAAACCCCAAAACCCAGTCATGAAGATCAATGGAACAGATTAGAAGATGCAAACACAGCTACGAAGACAATCAGCTACCTTATCTTTGACAAAGAGGTTAAGCATGTTCACTGGAAGAAGGATAGCCTCTTTAATAAATGGTCCTAGAAAAGTTGGATTTCCACAGGTTGAAGACTGAAACAAGACCCATGTCTATCACCATGCACTAAACTATAGTTAAAACAGATCAAAAATCTAAACATTAAAAAAGAAAAACTAAATCTACTGGAAGACAAGGTAGGTAGAAATCTTGAAGACATAGGGGTAGGCAAAGAGTTCATGAACAAAATGCAAATTGCATGGGAAGTACTTCAAAGATTCAACAACTGGGATCTCACCTTCTTAAAAAGTTTTTGCACTTCCAAAGAAATCACCAACAGAGTGAAAAGAAAATCCAAAAAAATTTAGCCAACTGTCCTTCAGACAAAAGATTTATATCAAGAACATTCAAAGAATTGAAAAACATCAGGCCTCCCAAATTCAAAGACTAAATCCAAAAATGGGCATCTGAAATGAATGTACACTTCTCAGATGAAGAAATACAGAAGGCAAATGTATACATGAAGAAATGTTTAACATCACTGGTCATTCGAGTAAAGCAAATTAAAGCAACATTGAGATTCCATCTCACTCCAGAAAGAATGGCTGCCATCAAGAAATCTGTGGATCTCGCCAAATGTTGGTGAGGCTGCGGAGAGAAAGGAACACTGCTCCACTGTTGGTGGGAGTGTAGACTGGTGTGGCCACTGTGGAAATCAGTATGCAAATTCTTCAAAAAACTAGTGTTGGAAGCCCCATTTAATCTAGCAATACCCCTCCTGGGTATTTTCCCAGAAAAATTGAAAATGTCATGTCACAGCGATATATGTGCATTCATTTTTCATAGCAGCACAATTTGTAATAGCTAAATCCTGGAAACAACCAAAATGCCCATCTACCGCAGAATGGATAAAAAAGATGTGGTATTTTTATACAATGGAATATCACTCAGCTATAAAAAGGGTAATCTTGAGGCTTTTATAGGTAAATGGAGGCAACTTAAGACTATACTCATGTGAAATAAATCAGACTCACATTTGTAAATATTATATTGGCTCCCTAGTATAAAAATTAATAATAATAATAAACTGAAAAAGCTATAAGATCCAAAATGTATAAGAGATATTGTAATAATGAAAGAGAGAGAACGTGCTCAAAAGGAAAGAAAAATTGGGATAGTGGAAAGGAGAAATGGAAGAAAGGAAAAGATTGCATGTATGTAGAAGACACATATAACTGTATACATGTATATGTGTGCAAGATTAGTAACTATACTACTAGTTATTAGCTTATCAAAAAGAATAGTTTGTGCTGTCATTTTGTGACTGTTTGATCTTTTAAAAAATTTATTCAAAGAAAGATTAAACAGAAAATAGATAGAAATAATACACACATTCAGAGAAAAAATAAACAGTAAGAAATCACTAGTTGATGTTTACATAATGTCCTTTTACAAATAGTTGTTCGGAATACAAAAGTGGAACATATAAAGTGGGAATTCAGATAGCGAGATTGCAAACAGTTCTGTTCTACTATTCAACAAAAACTTAGTAATATGGTTATCAATCCTGTACACTTAAACATACATGCAGTTATCCATGTTTCATCATTTTTTATGCTAGGGTCTTGTAACCTGAACAACTACTACTAAAATAACAATATGCAGCATATTAACTAGTGTTGATTTCTTACATTTTTAAAAGTTCTGCATTGTTTCTATCCTTTTTTCTGTTTTCCTTTTTAAAAATAAAATAAAAAGATACTAGTTGATCATAGAAAATGTATTCTGGATAAAGACTATGTATAAAAGGAACCTACGATTTCTATCGCTGGCAGAATCTCAGGGAGAGCTGACACTGGTGCATACATTAATATTAATAGTATTTTTGCCCAACCAATGTCACAGACTCTATATTAAGGACTTCTGCTCTAGGATGTAATGTAACTTCTTTCCCTATGTAAATCTCTAGCAAGGATTTCCTTGGGATGCAGTGCTTCCATGTGAGTGGATTCTCTTTGGGGACATTAATGACAAGGAGGCAGGGTGAGGGTTTAGGCAGCTCTCAGTGCCTGGGCATTTACCAAGGGCTTGGTCATCAGGGCCACTGGTCAGCTAGAGGCAGAGGCATGGCACTTTCTTGTCATCTTGTCCACACATAATTCAGGAGGTCTGGAAGAACACAAGATACACATCTGCTTACAAAAGAAATCTTAAAAACTAGGAAATAAGTAGATTGAATATTTTCCCTAAAGAACATTAAGAGCCTTGATTAGGAAGGCTGAAGGGTTTTTGTGATTCCTCCCACCTCCTCATATCTCTGCAGCACTTTTAACTTTGGAAACATTTTTCCATCAATAATCTAACTTGTTTTTACAGCCATCCTGAGATTGGCAGTGCAGTTATTCTTCTTCTATTTCTTCTAAAATATATATATATATATATATATATATATATATATATATATATTTAAAGCACAAATCTACCAGAATCAGAGCAAAAATTCAAGATGGAACATGTAATGATATTTCTGAGAGCATAACTATTTTTCCATCCACAAAAAATGTCAATGAAATATCTCACAGATAAATAACCTTGTGTTGCTGCTTAAAAAGAGGAAATGTACTACTATGTGCTTATTAAAGGAAAATATATTTTAGGTTGAAATTTTCCACAACAATTTACAAAATAATTGTATGTCTATCAAGAATTCAAGCAATATGGAATGGTTGCGGCAAATACTTTAAAACTTTCCCCTTTAATAAAATTAAGTCAGAGAAACTGTATCTGATAGAACCCAATAAAACAAAAATAACAAAAGTTAACATAGACAATTTAGTATAAAGCATTATCAACTAGGTTTAAAATTGTTAAGCAGGTAAGTGAAATGGTAAGAAGATAAGGAAGCAGGAGTCTACACGTTAAGACCTGTGGGAAAAATCCAGACTGAACTGTTTTTCGTAAATACAGTTTCATTAGAACACAATCAATTTTTTGGCTTACATATTATTGATTGCAATTTGGGTGTTATAACAAAGCCTAAACTACATGCTATTTAGTCCTTTGCTGGAAAGATTTCCACTGGTCAGTATTAAGGCATCACAGAAGCAATAACTGTAGAATGGGGTGAGCAGAGACCCGGAATTAGAAGTATTGAAATTTATGAGTTTGGAAGATTCAGGTGCGTTTGTGCTGTCTAGCTGCTAGCAATGTTTCTCAAGGAAGGAATACCTCTATTGGTGTGAAAGTTGTGAACCAGACTTCTTTGAATGTGTGAGAAAAGGAGGCTGAGCAGGCTTGCTGAAGACCCCTTACTTTTGACTTCAATTCCTGGTGGGAATAGGACTTAAAAATAGGGTTAAAAGAAAAGAAAAAAGTGTGATAGAGTAGTAATGGGGAGAGGGTAGTCCCACATAAGGAATATTTCACAGGCAAAATGCAAGTATAAGCCCTCAAACTCTGCTCACAGCCCCGATAGATTAAACCATGGTTTCAGGGCATGGCCCTTAGGCATGAGTAGTTTTTAAAGCACTCAAAGTGATTCCAACATTCAATCAAGGCTGAGTGTGTGAAGCCTTAACATGTATTTACTTAAGTTTGTCAGCTTCTGTTCTTTCTGCCTTACACATAGACTCTTGCACCTTGGAGAGAGTCCATTGTTTTTGGGCAGAGGGAGCTGCTTCTGCGTCTGGTGGGTAGGGGGCAATGAGTGGCAGAGAAGCAGTGGACATATCCCTTAGAGGACAGACTTGGATATGACTTTCTGGGTGTCAAGGTTGGGCAGCTCTCCCTAAACTACTTGGTAAGAATGGCAAGGATCCATCTCCGGTGCCTCCAGACTGATCAAGTCCCTTAACCCAGCTGCTTTCACTGAATGAGATCACTTTCAGAGTGGTCACACTGTGTAGTGAAATTTAAGCCAAACCTCCTGCAGGAAGAAAACTCCCATACAGAAGGGTGACAACCCTAGTTAGCACTGAGCGAGGACCCAAGGACGTGGATATGATGAGCAGCACAGGCTGGGATCTGCAGAACACAATGGGAGATGAACTGAAAAAGTAAGCTTGATTCTTCTTTCAAATTCTTCCCACAACAAAGTAGTGCATGTTCATTGTACGGTTTTTGAAGAATACTGAGAAGCATGAAGTAGAAAATTATTGCCCATTATTCCACTACCCAGATATGATTACCAGTAGAATTTGAGAGTAATCTGCTTGAGCTTTTAAAGTATTCATGAAATATAATATAAATATAGCAAAATTTGCATCAGACTGGTTGTACAATTCGTGTTTTTTTTAAAAACCTCGAGCATTGCCATTGGTAGCACTATTTTTGATGGCTTGTGGAATTCCATCACTTTATCGCATAGCTTAATCATTTCTCTATTTGTAGAAACTTGAATTTTAATTTTTCATTATCATAACTAATATTATAATGAACAATCTTCCAGGGAAGTCTTGAACAGCATATCTGATTATTTTTCAGTTTTTAAAAAAGTGTTAATCTGTGGGCTTTTATTCCTTTTGCCTGGAATACTTCTCTTCTCTCCATACTCTTTACCTAGTTAACCTCTATGTATTCCTTTAATATGGGGTTAGAATGTCAGGTATTCCAAGGAGGCCTTCTTGGCACCAAACTAGGTTTGGTTTGTCATTGAAAATCTATGATAGCAACTTGCAGTTTTCTTCCACAGCATTAGCACATCTTTTCTTTCTGTTAAGCCCCAAACTTTGAATAGTGGTGTGCCCATAGTAGATATTCAAGAGTTTGCTAATTGAATTCATACACACATACCTCCTTCGAGGTTGGGTTTTCAAATATCTTCTTGTCTTTCAGAGACCAGAAGACTGATTTAGCTCTGGCTCACTTATAGTCCTAAGACTTCCATGCACAGATTGCCAGTAGAGAAGCCAAGATCAAGGCCTGATCATTGCAAATGTTGGTTGACTGACTGTGCTGCCAGGTAGCCACTGTTAACTTTATCAACCCAGGCCAGTTGGCAAAGAAAACCTTGGTATCTCAGAAGATAGAATTATCTTTGCTAAAGAAAATGTTCATATTTGTCTATGCATCTGTCTTGGTTACTTTTCTCTTGTTCCTGGGACAAAATACCTGGCACCCAAAATGAAGGAAGGAAAGGGTTATTTTAGCTCACTGTTTGTGGAGGTTTCAGTCCATAACCAGCTGACTCCAAGGCAGGGTGGCATGGCTGAGGGGTAACACTTCAAGGCAGCAGCCAGAAAAAGCACCAGGAACAAAATGGAGGTGAACCAGCTTCTTCTCCTCCCTTATATTGCAAGCAGGCTCCCCACTGCTGAGGCTGGTATAGCACCCACACCACCTCTGTGCCCTCCTCTTTACAGACTAATGACATTTACAAAGTAGGGATCCTGGCTCCCTGCTGAGTCTCTTAGTTAAATTTCTAAACTTTTCAAGTTGACACAATATATAAACCATAACAGCATCTACTTATGCATTATTCTATCTGTCTGTCAACATCTGTCCACCTATCCATCCCTGCATTCATCCACTCATCTATCTTTCAATGCATCCTATATAGATTGTGCGTATATAAGCATGTATATATTATTCCTTCATTCAAAAATATTGCCTATTATGTGCCAAGGACTATTCAAGATTCATTAAAAATTGTGGATAAATCTCTTTCTTGGTGGAGCTTTGGTTTAATTTATTATGTGGCGCTATCAATGCTACCAATTTAGAAAATATCTACAGAGAAAAGGATATGGTTCCTACTCTCAAGGAACTTACCATCTACTGAGAATTTATAGCACTCACCAAAATAGCCATGCCACTAGTGAAAGTGACATGAGAGCTGAAAAGTAAGAATTGCGGAAGAGCATAATATCACTTCTGTCTTCTATGAGTCCTGAAGGAGCTCCTATGTGTACAGTTTCAGCTCCAGGTCCAGTGGTGGGAACATCACTCACGTTGATCCATATCCCACACTTTAGTTGATTGGTCTAATGAAGAAACCTGAGCCTATTAGGTCAGTCTGTTTCCTTCTTGGAACTATTTAAAACAAAAACTGGGAAGTCCTGTTTTAAATGGCAAATTTAAAAGAGTAGTAGGCAGCCTTGTTTTTTGCTATGTTTAGGAAATGGGCTGCAGCAAGAGAGAGGCAGCTTACATGAAGAAAGATCCAGAAGACAAGAACTCAGGACCTTTGTTCCATGGTTCTAAGTGTTCCTGCAGCCCAGCCATGAGTGTTTCTGTTCTCCTTTCATTGGTTAAGCCTACTTAATGTTCTAATAGCCAATATTTAACAGCTGAAATTTGTTGGTTGGAGTTGCACCCTACCAAAAGAATCCTTTTCACAATAGAAGGCTTTCCAAAGATCATGACCTGTTTGCTGCAATTTAAAGATTAAATGAGACCTAAATGCTTTAAATTTTGGCTTTTGCTTCAACTCCATGCTGAAAAAAAAAAAAGAAAAGTTAAATCACATTTCAATGACTATATTGTACTTCAAAAAACCTGAAATAACATTTTCCCCAGTAAAACTAAAATATTAAAATGTGAAAATAATATAGAAATGGTTAATGTTTTCCTTTATGCCACTATAGTCTAACTCTCCAGAAATAATGCCTATTAACAATTTGGGATAATCATCTAATATGCAGTATTCTATAATTGGCTTTTTCCCCTCAATATTGACTTTTAAGAATGTTTTTAGTTAAAAATGCTTTTGATTAAAATGCTTTTATTTTAAAAACTTACTATTTAAAAATTTTTGGGGGGTATAATTTAAAATTTACAGTAGTTTATAAAATTAAAAGTAGAAGAAAAATCTACTTAGCCTCATCTTCTCCTACATGCTTTATTATTTGTTTTCTTTTTGTGTCATTTCAAGGCAAGCTGTGACATTATGATCCTTTACCTCTAACTTCTTTTGGAGACAAAGAATTTTGGTGATTTTTACTGTTAAGTTCATAGTGATATAATAATTTCCCTTAACCCATTATCTGTATTCCAGTTTTGTCAGTTGTCCTAATAACCTTTGTAGCATTCTTCCCTCCAGTACAGAATTCCATGTGAGGTTAGGTATTGTATTTAGTTGTCATGACTCCACAGTTTACTTTAAACTGGAAGTTTTTGTTAGCCTTCTTTTGTGTTTTATGATACAACATTTTTTAAAATAGAAATTTTCT